TATCATAGTTGCGTCGATTAAGGCTCCTAAGTAATCGCCGTAACTCGTTTAAAGAAGCGAGAGAGACCATATCAAGAGAATTCTTACAAATGACATTCGTAATCGGTGCATTTTTTTAATTTAAAATTATTTTTCGAACGATCAATGAATAAGCAAAAGGTAGGCTCTGTGTCGAGTTAATTCGCAATTACAGATGCCATTTTGTGAGTATATCGTTTTACTTGAACGTATAACGCGAAAATTCTTAGAAACGCGTTTTCTCGCTTCTGACGTCATTGAATAAAGACGGTCGCAACGATTACCCAGGAGTCGTAATCGCGAACTCAAGTCGCTCACTCGGGAAACGACGGTGTGGCGCATCTGACTGTCCGGCTCGCGAGTGTCGCCCGGGATATTTCCTTGTCGAGCACTTTTTCGCTCCGTTACAAGTCGCACGAGACGGGATCGTATTGTTCACATGTCACGAACGAGATTAACCACGTTTTGAGAAGCGGTGAGTGCTTTTTTTTACATATACTTCGTATGAGTAATCGCAGTGTCATACGTGAGGAAAAAGAGAGAGAGAGAGAGAGAGAGAATAATGCGGAATATTTGTATTTAGCAGTTCTCGGTAAAATTCGACGATAACGTGACATCGAATTATTAACATAGCTAAATGCTCGAATACATTATGGATGTTTGGACATGGTATATTAATAATGACTTTGGAAAATATGTTGCGATAAAGGGGGGACGTTTTTATTTTTCGAAGCGAAAAAGTCGGCGAGATCAGCTCGTTCCTCTCGCGCGACTAACAAAAAACATCGCTTAACCAATATGATCGTAATTGTGCGCGGCGTAAAAACGAATTTTCTCGCGCGTAAAATCCTGATAATTCTACCGTTTCCGGGTTTCATTTCACTGCGCGAAATCCAACGCGCGTGCGAACACGAGACGAATCTTGACGCAATTAAATTCCCGGTTATTTATTTCATTCGCATTTCCTGGCGCACCGTTGTCGCGCGAGGAAGCGGGGAAAATTATCACTCGTGCGAAATTTACGGAAAAAAGAAGAAACAGCAATCACGGGCGAAATTCCGCCCTCACGTGCCGGAACCGCCGCCGTGGGCATCTCGCGAAGGGACACGTGCCGACGAAACCCAATAGTGAGATTTTGAGGGACGGGGATTTCTCCACGGGACTGTTGAACGCTTTATCGTCGTAAACCGATGAAAACTTCGGCTAAAGGAAAACACAAGTCGGCGGCGGTTCTCGCCGAGCGAAAGTTCGGATATACTGTATAGGTCGTTTACAAACAGAAAGGACAAGTTATCCAAAATCAAGCTCCTGTGAAGCCTCAACATTTACTCAGGCAAAACTTATTGGACCTCCTTCAGATCGTTCTCATATAGCGTCCGTATATAATCTGATCTTACAAAGGTAAAAACTATACATTAAATACGCAAAAAAAAACCTTGGGTTACGTTCTGTTGAAAAATTGTCTTGCATCTCGAAATGTGAAGGCGCACCATCGTGCATATACACGCTTTTAAGTCGAGCGAAGTATCGTCGAATAGCATTTAAAACCACGTTATTATGGTATCGCAAGAACTTTTTACATGGCCTTAACTCGACAACCGAGCGTAGGGCCGTTACATCGATGAATACCCAGACCATCCCTTTTGAAACATATCTACCTATAAGCTTGCAAATGATATAACACGTGAATACGACATATCAAGCTGTCAAGACGACAGATTACTCAGGCACGATGCGAACGATTGAAAAAGACGCAAGTTTTGGCCCGGAGTAAATGGTTCAAGCTCGATTTGAGGCTCGGCGTACACACAACGTGCGAGGCGACGCGCGTGTACACAGCGCAAGAAAACAAAAAAAACGAAAACATGTCGATCGTCGTCGATAACTTTCTCGAGCCCTTGAAGAAACGACGCGGTTTCTTCCGTCGGGGCAAGGCTAGGGCAAGGCAATGTGGAAGAGTAGCGCGACAATGTCCGGCGCGCTGGACACGGCGCTCTAAGCACGGTGACCTACGGGGGCTAAAACGAGTAGGTAAACTTCTACCCCCCGCTACGAATTACCGTTGCTCTTAGCCTGTACCGCATCGGGGCATTTAATGCTACGCCCGATATAATACCTTCTTATCCTGCCGGTTTCCATCCAATTCTCTCTTTAACCTTCGTGGCAGGAAATGCGATAGAAAGGCGCCGCGTGGCTCGCCGCTGCGAGCAGTGGACCCTGTGGGATTCTTTCGGGCTACGATGTAGACAGATCCGCCAGACGATTCCTTCCTCGGTCCTGCCGCTGTGGCGTTTCTTTCGCCGATACCGATACCGGGCTTTCACCTCGATCGAGGTATTTCTTTTCTTCCGCTGTCTATCGCGCGCGCGCGCGCTTTCGTATTAAGTTCCGCCACGCAACGAGCGTGCTCGGCAGAAACCCGAATATCTTTCTCGTTCGGATTTCTCTTTCTCTCTCTCTCTCTCTCTCTCTCTCTCTCTCTCTCATATTATTGCATTCTCGTGTGAAATTTATCTCTCGGCGATCTCGCGCGTTCGGAAGAGGCAATTTACTACTAACGGTTACATAAAAAACGCTGATCGAAGATCCATGTAAAAATATGAAATGCCTTCTTCCGCCTTTACGGTGAAAAGTACGCTTTGTACTCGTATTAAAATCGATCCTTGTTAAAATTTTTGTGTTAAATTTTTAACACACCCGTGCGCTAACATATTGCGTTGTATCGATATTATTTATATTAATTTAATATTATTTTCGTTTCATACTTTGTGTTGAGTCGATATTCAACATGTGTAATGTTAAAATAACACATTTTACACTTCGGTGTCGATTAACATAATTATAATAATTATTAATCTTGTGTTATTTTCCAACATATTTACGTTGAATTAACACAAAAATCTGTGTGAACCGTTTGGGAAGTGCGTTGAATTTAACGCCAAATTTTTTGTCGATATAACGTCCGAGCGAAGTTCATTGAGCCTGATTTACAATGTGCACCATGTTTCTTGCTTTATATCTCTTTTTCATAAGTAAATAAAAGTTCAGAAGGAAGATAAAAAGCAAGAAACAAGACACAAATTCGAGACCAAGCTTAACGGAAGAAAGACAGAGAACGAGAAACAAGACACGCAAAGAGCATACTGTAGACCAAGCTTTACGGCGATGGAGCAATTAAACCGCACGGTAAATGTGTTCTTCTTTGGCGCAGGACGAAGTAGGACTTTGACTTAATGCGCTCGCGACGTTAAAATGGCTTTCCACACGGCGGGTAACCCTGAGAATCTCGTCGGATAATTTGCGCGGCGATAAGAACCAACCGAGGACGTAGGAGAGATGCGCTGAATTATGGAAGCCGGCGCCGTAGATAATCGATTGTGGAAATAACCCTCCGCGCGAATAGATGCCTATGAAGGCAAAAACTGCTCGAACGTATAAACCTAATAGCTTGCCCACGATAAACAAGCTTTACGTTTCTCCGGACAAATAATATATCAGGATAAGTAAAGAGGATCACCTCGGCGACAAGAGGGGGGCAGAGGCCGCCGCCGCTGCGACTTTTCGCCCGCGTCGTCGAGTCGTGAAATTCGATTATTAACCGGGCGCGTCCATGCGTGTGAACATTACAACATTACCTCGCGAGTTACCGGCGAAGAAGTTTTATCAATTTCCCCTAAGTTTCCCCGAATAACTTCGAGTGGAAGCTCCGAGGTGTAATTTTTTTGTTGAATTAACCTCGGATGGGGGACCTGGAGCGTCTGGCGTCTGCGATTCGTCTCGTGGAATATATTATCTCCCGACTGTCCGGCCGTGTGGAGTTTGCACGGAACGTCAAAGGAATTAGCGTGTGGTTAATTAACTCGAGGACGAAAGCTAGCGGACGGAGCTCAAAGAGCGGTGCGCGCGCGAGCGAGTTGCAAATTTGCTCGCTATTCACTGGAATTTTCTGTGGAAATGTCTGTATTCCGGTCGCGCAAGATCAGCTTCAGAAAGGGTCGGCATTTTCCTCTCTCTCTCTCTCTCTCTCTCTTCCTTTCCTTTCTTCTGCTTCCTTTTTTTCCGTGTGTCACAACATAATGAACGATTTTGTAGCTCGCGTAGCTGGGCACGGAATAAATAGGGGAGCGGATACACCTACAGGGGATGATACCGTCCAGGGTGTTGTGTCAGAGTTTATTGCGGGGGCGCGTTTTCATCAAATTCCTTTTGGGAATTATAAGTCTCGCATCTACGAAAGCACGTCGCTTTTTACCAGACGCGCGCGCCATAAAGGAAAGCCCGTTTCGCGGGCTCTCTCTCTCTCTCTTTTTTCGGTCTTTTGTGAACGTTATCCAAGACCGGATTTACCGAACGTAAAAATCCGCGTAAAATGTGGAGCCCACGTAAACTGCAATTTTTACGAATGATGAAGTTTCCGCCGAAACTGGTTCGAGTTGTTCTGCTTCTCGGAAACCGAGGGTTGCATTACGCTGCCCCGACGCAATCCGATACTTTCCGCGTTTCGCATTTTTCTCAATATTCTTCCTCGCTCTTGCTTCGACAACTGACAAAAAAAACAAACTAATAAAAAAAAAAAAGAAATACGAAAGTAATCATAAGTTCACGAGGGACTCCAACTTTCTTCTTGTGCCAAGAAGACGATGTCGATTGTCACAAATGTTATTATTTATTCGTCGCGTACTTTGCTTCATCAAGCAGGTTGAAGAATTTCCCTACGGCTTCCGCGACCCAGTCAACGCAAAGTAACAGTTATATAAATGTTAGTTGTAATTTTCTACTAAATAATCCAACTGTTATTTAACGTGTGTGTTATATAACAGTTATATTATTGAGTAGGAAATTACAACCAACATCTATATAACTGTTACTTTGTATTTGCTAAGGACCTCCGCGAGACCGACTCGCATATTTTAAAGATAATACGTCGGAGAGAGAGAGAGAGAGAGAGAGAGAAAAGATGAAAAATTCCCTTCTGCTTTCAGGTAAAGCCGTCCCCTTTGTGGAACTAACGGTGGCTCACGCCTCGGTTCTCACGATTCTGGCCATCAGTTTCGAGCGATATTACGCCATCTGCGAGCCTTTAAGAGCCGGGTAAGAGATGCAACGAGTTTGGCTAATTAAAACTCACGTTCTCACGCGTATACGAGAACCAATGATTTCTAATCCGATTTTTCTCTTCGCAGATACGTGTGCACTAAAGCGAGAGCGACGATCCTGTGCTTCCTGGCGTGGGTGGCAGCAGCGCTATGTACAAGGTGACACGAAACAGAAAAATCACAAGAGATATTGTTAACTTCATTATATTTATATTTTCTCTCCGTTCTCTCTCTCTCTCTCTCTTGCACTGCTGCCATTTTTCTTTTTCTCTTTTTGTTCACCACCTTTTCTGCTTTTTCTTTGGCTGACGTATTATGCCGCACTGCTTTTTTTTTCCACTCGCTGCCCTTCGGCACGTGTCGCGTTTTGTACGTCATTTCCACGTGACCGTAATACGTTACGAACCCTATTATTAACCTCACCCGCAAAGATACGTTCTAAAACGTGCTTAAAGCCCGTTTTCAGACGATATATCATTCGGCGAGAGCGGAATCTGGCGCGAAAGCTAATTGTAATTTCGCTCCGTCGAGACCGATCGATATAATTCCGCAAACGAGGAGGAGATGTCACGTTAATGGTGAGCCTCGGTCGTGATTGTACCCACGTGCGTGTTACAGTAAGGTTGACGTCTCTCTAGTAAATATATGTCACGCGCTATGTCGTCACGCGGCGGCGTATCATCGGATTACGCGCGTGAACTTCGAAAACTCGCACGCGCTCGCCCCGGAGCGTTTCGTTGACGAGAAAGTTCGATCTAACCAACGAGAGAATTTTGCGGATTAAATCGGCCGTGCCCTTCGTCTTTAGCAGCGATGACCGTTGTCGTTTCACATGAATTGCCTGAAATTCGCGACGTAGCGTAATGAGTCGTCTGATACGGTTCTTCCTCGCGACCGATCGCTCGAGAACAGAAATGGATTGGAGTGCGGAGGATACGCCGGCAGTTTCATTACGTGATGTAGTTACGTCGGCGAACGCCGCATCACGCGCGTCCGTTTCTCGATATCGCGTGTATTTGTCGCGCGATGCAGCGAGTTAGCGAACTCCGGCGAATTGCGTTGCGCCGCAAGTTTCTTTCTTTTCTCTTTCTTGCTGTCATCAAAGGCGGTAATCGAAACGTTTACATACGTTGCTTTAGCAACGGTTCATTACATCGCGTGGGAAATGTTGTGACGTGCGTCGGGAATCGTATAATATGAGGGAAGCCAGACGGTATATCAAAGGAGCCGTTACGCGCTCATTTTTGACAACGGGGGTTTACGAGCGCAGCCGTCGACGTCGTGAAAAACACACGTGCTTGGCTCCCTACTCCTCTTTTAACATTGTTTCGGGAAATATGTGGCAGGAACGACGCGCTCCTATGCAACGGAGAAATTCCTCCCGCGAAATCACAGACGACAATTGAGTAATTGAACCTCTTTCGCCCGCTTGCGAGAGAGAGACGTGCACATAACAAAAAGAGTCGCTTCGGGTGATGCGCGATGTGCACGGCGGCCACGATGTGAAGCGACTCGCTACAGCTGGTCTGCGACATACATCCGCATCGAGACTCGTTCTTTCGAGTCGAGCCGGCCGTTACGAAAGAAGGTCGCTTTGCACCGGTGTCCCCGTGACGTCAATAACGCTCGGTAACGGCTGTCACCTTACACGAGGTATTCGCCGCGGCCGTAACGTCATATTAAAACGCATTGATGACAGAAAGATGATGGCTTTCGCGATACTTATGCAGACGCATCTCTTTGCGAAGGTCGGGGAATCGTCGCGTGAGCGCTCTTCCACGTCGAAGAAAACGTCGCGAGAGAGAAAGAAGGAGAGCAATAATAGAGTTTATCCTTTTTCGTACAAACTTATTGAATTTACGACGAATTAACATCAGTACCAGAGAAAAAGGTTTCTTTAGATTTAGTATCTCGGTTTATTTGACTAAAATTTGTTTTACAGAAACAACATATACGAAATATTATTTAAGTAAAAATTTTATTGCCTCATTCAAGAAAATTCTATTATTTGAAAAAATATATTTTAACCAAACGAAATGTTGTAATAAATGTGTAAAATGAAACGAAACAAAAATATGTAAAACGAATAATTTTTTCACAAGAAAATTATCTTTCGTTTCAAATTTTTTATCTAAAATAAAGATTCGTTGACAAATCTAACAATCGTACTTATTAATCGAAACATTAGTTTCTTCGGAGCATTCCAATGATGAAATTTGTTTGGATGCAATAAAATTGATTAAATTCGAAGAAATCTCTTTCTCTCAGTGTAGGATGCAATTTGTTTGTAATATAATACAAATCATCAAGATTTAGTTATAATGTAGTGTAAATTATTTTAACCCGGAATAACATATTAAAATAATATAGCTGTAAAGAGATTTGCAAAAGGTACAAGAGATCGTAACTTAAAATTGGTGTGGATGATTGAGTGCAGATAAACAACTTATTAAAAGGTAGAAATAAAAACAAAATAGAAACACCAGGTAAGGGTACTTCGGCCAATTATTGCACCTACACGGCATGCAAAGTTAATTTTGTAAAGAGAAAAATAATTAATAATTAGTAATCAGAAGTTCAGAATCTAGTTGAAACACCGTCAGCAGTTTCTGGGACGTTAGGTGAAATTAATTAGTGATAATCTTACAACGTTACATAAGATTAGATACCTTTCCAGGTAGAGCGTAAGTGCTTGCTTCTCTTATTTAAAAAGGCAATTCCCTTTTAGACTTACGTGGTGTGCTCTGAGATTTACAGCTCGGAGATAAAGTGAGCGAGAGAGGGTGAGAGTAGCTGTCGTAGAGAGAAAAAGACGGGAAAAAACCGGCGAACTGAAAACGCGGGGACGGCGAGGTAGAGGTTTTATCTCGGATCAGCGCATTTAAAGCAACGCCGGTGAATGAACGGACTCGCCAATATCCGCGAGTGCCCGATTGTGTCCTCGTGGCAATTTCCCTCATAAAAAGGATCCCCGCCAAGTTCATTGAAAGAGAGAGCGGTCAGGCGGGACGGACGTTTGATATCCGTTAGCATAAAATGCAAGACGATTATTTCTGCTCCCTCCGCTTTCGTTCTACCAGGCGTGAAGCCGAGAGAGACAAGCGCAGAAAGCTGGATGTATATGACTTGTATCGCGACGAGACTCGAGAAGATGGGAAGTTCTCCTTCAAAGTGCGCCGCCGACCGAGAGACAGACACGTCGCCATCGAAGGATGGTCGATTTTTACAAAGTCCGACCGGTCGCACCCTCCCGTATCACACACCGCGTCATAAAAGCGATATCGCCCGCAGAGAAGGAGGGAAATCGTACGTCATCCCGGTCGTCAAGTACAAAGAGCGACGACCGAATTTATAGCCACTTATGAAACGAAGGAGCCGCCCCTTCTTGAGGCGAACTGTCGCGATATCGCGATAGAATCTCGAATTAAACGTCACATTCCGCGACAGTCCAGGCGAAGGAGAATTGGGGTCTCCCTCTGCTGTGTATTGTCACAGATGGGTGGGATCGCGATGAGTTCAGATCGATGCGCCCGCTTACGCACATTAAACGCACCAGGCATGAAACCGTCATTGAAACGTCGTCTACACAAATTGAAAGTGTCTCTCCTCCGGGACACGTGATAAAGGAATTGTGCGTAGGAGGAATCATTCGATTTGCGTGAGAATGTACAAAGGGCGTCTTAGCGGTGAGTTACATTCGAGCGAAATTACCTTGCCGTAGATCGGTATTTCTCTTTCCGAACGTACTGTTTAACGAGGCCCCGAGGCTCGCGGAGAGAGAGCGCTTTGATGGGAGGGAACAATCGAGCTGTACTGCATAATTGTATTGCGGAACTCGTAGTAGAGCGAGTCCGATCTCGTCTCTTCGCAAATCGAGTCTTAACGGAGCTTGTACTTTACATTCCGCAGGAGTGGCGTAAAGCGGCGGAGGATGCAAAAAAGAGTCGTTTCTGCCCGACGACTTCGCGAGATGCTGTTTTTATTTTTTACGTACGCCACGCGTGAATTAAAGCGCGGATTAAAGCGGCGGCTTGTTAAAGCTCGCGCTAAGTATTACATCCGCAGTTATTTTCGAGCCAAAACAGTCGGGACGTGTTCTCTCGAGGAGCGTAAAGCTAAATTTAAAGTTCGTCGCGCGCGAGAAGTTGCGTGAAGCAAAACTTCCGCTGACATTTTCGGGAGCATTCACTTTACTTTTATCTTCTCGTCCCTTTCGCGAAAATGCGCCCGCAATTATCGAAATCGCGTTTCTCCGAAGACGTCGAGGAAACCCTATCTATCTTGGAGGCAGAGATTGAATTCGTACCCTGATCCGCGTTTACCTCGTGCAACGAAGCGTAAAAACGGGCGATATTCCGTTTCACAGCGTGGGAACGCGACCGTACGGAGACTCTCCGCTATTATTCGCCACCTTCCTGCGCGCTCGCAAAGCCACGGATAACCTTTCTATCACTTGGCAATTTTGCCCAGAGGGTTGTTCGAGCGACACATCTTCGGGTTAAAGGATCCTCTCGATCCAAATCGATGTTATCGATCCGTTCGACAAATTACACGCTGCATGCTAATCTTTCTTTCTCTACCGTATAGAATAAGACCTACCCTGACGATTATCTCACACACGCGCGAATCTACATCTTCTTTTAATCTTCGACGAAGAACTTTTCGCACTTTCCGCACGAAGTGCCGCGACATCGTGCGAACGCTTCGTCTCGCTTCTCCGCCTCCTTCTATCCGCTCGCCTGAGCGACAATTGCCGACTCGAGGAGTAAAGCGCGCGTTCTCTTTCATTTTTTCGTGACTTGATTGCAGCCCGATGATCTGGGTATCGCAGTATCGCGAAATGAGGATGGTTGCTAACGGGAGCGCGGAGGAGGAGAATCAGGTGGCGGTATGCCTGACGCAGGCCGACACAGTCGCCAGCGTGACGTTCTTCCTGTTGCTGGCGTTGCTGTTCTTCGTCGCGCCGTTCGCGATACTCGTGGTGCTGTACTCGTTCATCGTCCGCCACCTGGTCCGCGACTCGTCGACCGCGTCGTCGACGGCCAGCAAGCATACCAGCGACACGTACCACACGCGCGCCAAGCGGCAAGTGGTGTTCATGCTGTTGACCGTAGTGGTGAGCTTCTTCGTGTGCCTGTCGCCTTACCGGCTCTTCATCTTCTACATCGTCGTGACGCCCGCCGAACGGATCGCCGCCGTCGACTCCGACACGTTCTTCGGCCTGCTCAACTTCTGCCGCGTCATGTTCTACTTGAACAGCGCCGGCAACCCGATACTGTACAACCTGATGAGCAGCAAGTTCCGAAGGGGCTTCCTCAGGCTCTGCGGCCTCGAGAAAGAGGAAAGCGAGAGGCGGATGCGCCGACGGCAGAATTTGCATCAGGAGGAGGACTTTGTGTGATGATTGCGGCACCAATTTTCCAGTGAATGATGTAGCAGAAAACAATTCATTTCGACAGCAGAAAGAGCATTAATTGCTGGACAATTAATACTCCTAATCGATTATTCTGCTGCCACTATATTGACAAACATTTGCCGTGCAAAATCTGTTTTCTCCCTGCGTTATGTGAGTGCGGACGCTTCAAGCCGGAAACTCGGATCGCGAGAAAACGATGAAGCACGAGAACACCCGTGGTGATTGAGTCAAAAGGGGCATATCGGAAACTTTTTCCGCCGGAGAAGAACACGGAAGTATCGGACGATTCTTACCGTGATAGAGATTACAGTGAATCTGCAATCGCGCGATAAATCGCTGGGAGAAGCTTAAGGCTCGATAATTCCGGAGAGTAGAGTCCACTTCGCGGAACGCTAGATTGGATGGGACGCTCGAAAAACTCTCCATTTCCCCTGTCCTGTGTGAGATATTAAACTTCTTCTCTCTCTCTCTCTCTCTCTCCCACGAGCGGAATCAGTCGTCCGAAAAGTTCCGACGTTAAGCAGCGTGATCTCGTTATCAGTATTGCGGGAAATTAAGTGCTACGCGAGCCCTGCTCGCCTATCGATACGTTTTCCCCTGTCACCGGACAGGGAAATAAATGGAACGTCGAGCTACGCTACGTGTCGAATGATTTCACCTTTCCTCCCCATCCATCACTTTTTTACAGTTTAACTCAATAAATACGTTGCGCAATAACGGAGGAGAGAAAGAGGGGGGATTTTACAGGATATCGTTGTATGTTACAAGAGACGCTTGTGCCGCGTAAGTGACATTTCGCAGAAAGCTATTGGGCGGAACGCGCATCAATTATGATAATAACAATAATAATAATAATATCTATCCTTTTAGCCCGATACTGTTGATGGTGACGTACGAGATGGAAGAGAACGGCGACGGCACGTACGTGCCGACGTGCATGACCCGGGCGTCGGTCACCTGGATGACCGGTTTCATCTTGACGACGATCGTGGTGTTCTTCATATTGCCGCTGCTGATCCTGATAGTGCTCTACACGGTGATAGCGCGTCACCTGATGGCGAATCCGGCGATCAGCCGCGGCCCGGCGAACAATCTGCTCAAGTATCGCAAACAGGTGGTGCTGATGCTGGGCACGGTGGTGCTGTGCTTCTTCCTATGCCTGTTGCCGTTCAAGGCCTTCACCCTCTGGGCGATCATCGTGCCGCCAAACACGGTGATCTCGCTCGGCATCGAGGGCTACTACAGCCTCTTGTACTTCTGCCGGGTGATGCTCTACCTGAACTCGGCGATCAATCCGATCCTCTACAATCTCATGTCGACCAAGTTCAGGGAGGGCTTCCTCAAGCTGTGCGGCTTGGGACCCGTCAGGCGGAAGAAGAAGAAGACGTCGGAGCGCACCGGCACCACCGGCTCGACCAATTGCAGCAGCAGTCACTCGGATTTCTGGCGCAGGCACAGCAGCAACAAGAGTTGCAGCGTGAAGGTACCGTGCGCCGAGCACGAAAGCGCGTCCGCGGACAAACAGATCAGATTGCCCTTGCTCACGGCGGTCGGAAGTATCGTCAGGAAGAAGCAGGAGAGCTACGTTTAGCTCGACCGTTTCCGTTCAAAGATATTCAACGCGTGTTCTCAGGCAACTTATACCGAGAAAAAGGTTTCTTTCAATTTAAGTGCCTCTATTTATTCCACGAAAATGTCTATTCATACAAACAATATATACGAAATATTATTTGAGTAAAAATTTTATTGTCTCATCCCAGAGAAACTCTGTTATTTGGCTGGAAGAACGCTATTATTTGAAATAATATATCTTAACCAAATAAAATATTACTCGGTTACAATAAATATGCGTAAAATGAAACAAATAATTTCTTCACAAAAAAATTATCTTTCGTTTCAAACGAATTCTTTTATTTAAGATAAAGATACATCATATTCGTTGAAAAGTCTAACAATCGTACTTAAATTAAATTGGAAGAAATCCTTTTCCGATGTAGAGAAAGGGACGGCGTTTCCGTACTTTCGATTCTTCTCGCGCTGGAAGCTGGAAGAAGCATCGGCTTTCCACTCGTTGTTACGACAATATCCTTACGTGATTTACGTGACACGAACTGTCTCCATTAGTATCCACAGAGACCCCCGTAGTGATTGATAACTGTTAAATGTTTACTGAATGTTACTACGACAGCGTTAGAGATTAGACAAGTCTTAAAGGCGAAGGAGAGGATTTAGAGTACAATAATTGTATTAGCTGTTCGCTGCGAGACAAGACAGATCCTTGGTTCCTCGAACGCGTAGGAGAAGCGACGAGTTTTTCTCGCGCGAATCTTTTGTTCCTCCGAGACGCTTAAATCGTGATAAACTTAATAGAGACTAGCAGAGATCGCGAGTGAGTTAGGCGAGAAAGGGCGAGACAAAGAGGGAAGTGATGAAGTGATCGATTTCTCTTGATTTCGCTTTTTAGCGTTAATCGGCATTTAGATCTGTTCTGTTGTATTTTAGGGGTCAGAAACTCGCTATTCCGCCGACGGAATCAGCGAGAAAGCCCGACGGCAGAGGCGAGATATCGTTAGGTCGGCGCAAAAGTGAAAGCGAAATCGTAAGTTTTGTACACAAGTCAGGACTCGATTGAATTTTACCGGCATCTTGTTATCAAGTGCGGTAGGTATTATACGGTAGGTATTTTCTACGGTGACGTATGAGAAGAGTTTCTCTCCACGTAGCTAGGTTTGCAAAATTGCATGTGAATTTGGCCGGGGTCGATTTTCCTTCGAAATTGTCGCGCGAAAAACATTGAGTCGCAAAGTGTTCTGGGACTCGAGAAGTTTCCTTACGTAAAACTATCATCTCTTCGACGTCGGCTGTATTTTCTCCGATAAAGTAAAAGTCTGATTTAGAAATATGCGGAGCGGCTGACGTTTTTGCCTCTGTTGGACTAACGGGTCGGAGGCGTTAGTTGAAAATGTATCTTCGAAGGCCAACTCTCTCCTTTTTTACATAGACATTTTTTGAGACAAGGTTGAAACGTACAAATGATTCGAACGTATTTATTAAAATATATTAGCCGAAATTGTTCTTACGTAGGAGCTTCGTATTTTATCGTGTTAATAAAATCGTACAATGTGCCATAATAGCGCCATAAGTTCCTGATCGTGCAAACACCGTTAATGCGCTTGTTTATAATTTACGATTATTAAAATATTGTTGCGATTTGTCGTTACGTTTTCTATAGAAATAGCGAATAGATCGCGAGAGGTGCTTTATTTTATTAAAAAGAGTGCATATGGTTTTGTAAATACTGTCTGATAATAAAATGTTTTCATATTAACAATTCGAAGTATTCCCCTGCGCTCGCTTGTGATGTAACGAACGTTGTTTGCAATTGTAACTACAACTATGACTAGCATTTTAAAAATTGGATGATTCATCCTCCAGAGACAAATTAAGATACTTCAAGCCTCTTCTTCCCCGACGAAAGGAAATTGATCTTAAAACTTATGGTGCGACAAATTTTTAACGAAGAAAAATCCATGAAAAGTTTCGAAATAAATAATGTTATCTTTGAGAAACATTAAATATTATTAATCGCATTTAACTGTGATAAAATTTCCTCTTACAAATGAAAGAGCGGAAATTTATCAACGTTTTGCCGTTTTTCTTCCCGCGTCAAATTTCAAACGTACGTTCTATACGCTCGTGCGGGGATTCACGGCTAAACTCAGTGTGCTTCGTCAAATAAAAAAAAAAGGGAGTCCTCGATGAACGTTCACACCTATCGCGTCCGTTCGTCGCGCGTCGCGCGCTTGACAAAAATAATATCGTTCGCCAAGTTATGTTCTCGTCTTACAAAGCTGTAAACGTAATACCCCTGCCTGTCCATCAGATCGATCATGTACTTTGGTCCCTTCGCATTGTGTATGTACTCGACAGAGAGAGCCTAAAAATACACACATATACACTCACGTATTCATATAATGAACGTATCAGCGTTTTGAAATGCGCCACACTCCGCGGTAAAAGAGAGAGACAGAGGAAAAAAGCGAGTGGAAATTCGAAAATGGATCGTGTGCACACGTGCCTTTATATCCACCTCGTTAAACGGAATTGTCTCCAGTATCTCGATCTCGTTGCCTTCGACGTCGAGGCTGAAGTAATCGACCGTCTTGATTCCCAAGGCGGCGATGTAAAGCGTCAACGGGAAGCACTGCACATGAATGTGCTCGCCTGTGTAAGCGACGTCGGCCGTATTCGTCGGCACGACCCCCGTCGTGTTCTCGGGCGAGTGCAGACGCCCCAAGTTTCTCGCCATGAGAAAAGACGCCTGTAATTTACAACGAGTTCGTCACCCCGACGCTCTTCCGTCCCCGGGCGGATCCTACGAGGTCTAACTATGCACGTCATAAACGAGTTCGAATTACCGATATCGATACCGCCGGATAATCATCGATTCCCTTACCAGCACGGGCTCCTTGGTGACGCTGAGGCAGGTCGGTGTGAGGTAAGCCCGTCTGTTCTTCCGCAGCATTTTCGCGAAATTGATAGGATCCGCTTCTATCAGAAGACCGGACCATCCCTTAAATCGCTCCAGATACAGCGTGTTGCTGCGCGTCTCCCCGTCGTACGCACCGCATTCTATGAAAAACCCATTTTTCTGTAGAGACCAACCAAAACGCTGTATTCATTAACGTACTCGTGTTTCCTCGTCTACTAATCGCTCTCTGATTATTATTCATGAGATTTTCGTTTTCACTACCTTATCCTGGAAGATATCGCGGATCACGGCCGATTGTCCCATCGACGGGTCCTCGACATCCGGTTCTTGAAGGTTGTAATACTTGCTCGGATCGTGGCTCCATGTTAACCAATTCAGCCGAATATCCGTCAATAGCTGTTGAAAGAGTTCCGGGCTCAGTGCGGACACGCTTCTCCCGTTATACCATCTTTCACCTGAGAGTAATATTCGGCTATATAGGATTTATCATCAATTAATAGCTCTCATTTCTCAAGGTCATTCTTTTGCGAAACGAAATCAAAGATGTGTTAAAACTGAGCGTTTGGAATTCACGATATCGTCCGTCAAATATTTATATGAATGATTTCGACTCTATAACAGAAAAAGTGCACATCTCGTTGTAGAGACGATGTGTTCAATATATTTATCGTTCAATTACAGCCACTTACCGTCGGAGAAGTTGTACCACTTGCGCCATACTGTAACGAGAGAAACCGTTATATTCCCTTTTTCGCTGATGTGTCACAAACGAATACCTACCTAGGAAAAGCACTCACCTTCTTGGTAAAAATCTTCGGATATGTTGTCTAAGTACGTGTCGCGTTTCGTTTCACGGACGATCGAGACCCTGACGAGCGTCACCGTGAAAATGAGGCCCGAAATTAACGCGATTAAAAGGAACCACTTGCGAAGCGAGACGGTGTTAGCGGAAAAAAACGCGCGCTGATAGACGTGCGCGACGACCTTTCGCGGTGAAAAGTACATCTCGGGATAAGTACTAGCGAATTAGCTAATTACAGCGCAAAAAACACCGGCGGCACATCGTCACGCGACATACGATGATTAAATAGACGCTAACAGTTCCCAATGTCGATAAGCGAGTCTTGTGCGAGCAGAAAAATGTTAGTCGTGAGAATACCTTGCTTTCGTTTATTTATCAACAATCGGTTTGTGACGTGGGAAAATCACGGAGGGACAAGATAAAGGACCACGTGGACCACGTAGAGCGTCACGCGTTGCTACCAGTACGGCAACGGTAAATGAGGCGCGTTCACCAATAAAATATATGCGCTCGCTCTTCTCCTCCGTACAATGAATTAAATTATAAATCGACCAACGGGAATCGGAGACGGTAATATAACGACACGTAGCGCACGACGATACGCCGCGACGAAAAGCAGCGGTATCGCGCGCCGGCTCCGCAACGAGGATGTAAATTTAGCACGACCACATGTTTTCGCTCGTACGCGCGCTCGTGCTAATCGCGTCACAGATCGCGACGAATTGCGAGCGAAACGGCGATGTCGCTTCCGAGCGAAGGCGAGCCGAAGAGTCGCCGCCGTTCACTGCCGCATCCCGACCACGAATATCATGTGGTCACCGACATCGTACCTATGATGATCGTGCGCGCGTGTGTATGTGCTAATATACACGGTGTCCCGGCGCACACGCGTGTAACTCTTCGAGAGATCCGATTCCACTACGATCGTCGGGTCATCGGTTAATCGTTACTTTACAATTGTTAATTGTTGATCCTCCCCCCCCCCCCCCC